TTTTTTCAATCTGTATGGCTTACTTGGGTTATTTTATTTCGAGCACCAGCTAAAGTTAATAATCCAAAAAGTTTTACATCAAAATTTATGGCTAATATATGGGCATGTTTTTGTTTGGCATTTACTGCTAGTTATACAGCTAATTTAGGTTTGTTTATTTTTTGTACGATTCTTCTGTATATTTTTTTTTATATATTATTATTACAGCGGCTTTTATGATTACGAAAGATGTTTATTTTGATCTATCGGGTATTACGGATCCTCGCGTATGTTTTATAATTGAAGAAATATGAAGTAATTTCGAAATATAAATATTCTTTTGAAATTTTAGATTTCAAATCCATATTCAGTGAAACCACCATTTCTTTTTGGAACTGTTGCAAATGGAGTAATATATTTTAAAATTTTATAAAATCTTTTTGAGATAAGAGAGATTATATATATAGAATTATACTCTTTTTTCGTTTATTCATATTATATATTTCTTAGTAATTTGAAATAGTTCCGAGTCGAAGTTAACACATACTAATACTATTAGCATATATAAGACCTTCAGTGCTTTTAACGTCAATATATTTATGAATAATTGACAAGATTCAATCACTTATAATCGATGACTATTATTAATCTTAAGTAGAAAACTATTCGAATTCTTTGCTACATTGTTAACACATGTATCATTTGTTTGCGATTACATAAATAAATATTTTTCTATTGTTTAGAGTACTGATGAAGTTGTGAAAACCAATCATAAATTAATTTATTCATATATGAAACCATTTATGAAAAAAAATGTATCTGAAGGAATTAAAGCATTGAAAGCTCAGTAAGAATTATTTATCATTTAATTCAATCATACTTCTTTATTATTCTAGAGAATTACATGCATTTTTGTATGATGCAGTTGTACTTGATTATTTAAGTGGGCAAGATGATGGATGTAAATTACGTGTTGTTGGAAATTGGTATGCAATGAGTGGTTATGGAATTGCATTTCCAAAACAATCAAAATTTAAAGATATGATTAATAAAGAAATTATTGAAATGCATTATTCAGGTGAAATTGAACGTCTTCGAAGATTTTGGTTTACAGGTAGAAAATATATATATATATTTGTTTTTGAAAACTATATTCTTTTATTGTAAGGTGCTTGTAAATCCAATGTGGATCAACAATCTGATCGAAGTAGTCAGCCATTAGATGTATGTTTATCTTTCAGATCAATATATATAAATATATATATATGTAATATAAATTTTAGCAAAGAAACTTTACATCTGCATTTTTACTTCTTTTTGGTGGTACTCTAATTGCAACTATTATACTTCTATCAGATAATGCATATTCACGTTTTATTGCTCGTTCAAAAGCAAATCTTACTGAAGATAAAAAAAGCCCAGTAAGAATTAAAAATATTTTTTCTATCTAATATAATATGAATTTTATAGGAACGTAAACCTATGCTCAATAATAATCATAATCTTAATCTTAATGATATATTTCATACTCGACGAGAGAAAATCTTGGAAAAACATATCGAAATATTACAAGAACGTGTTCACCAGTTGGAAACACAAGTATCAATAGAATCATTATCTCAGCCATTAGATGATAACGATAAAAAACTTACAAATAAATCTACATGTTTAGTACTACCGGTGAGATACACACCTGAACCGGAACTATCACCTCGGTTAGAAATTACTTCACGTATGCCAAGAGATGATATTAGTACACAATTGTTACTTGTTGAACAAACACATACACGTGTATATGAAACAGTTGTTTAAATATATTTTAGTTGTTTTTTTTTTACAGTTAAAATAAATTTATGTGATCATATAGGAAAACTTGGCAAACTATGTCTAGTATAATAAGAGTTCGTACCTATACTATTCTTATAAGTTAAAATATGAAATATCATCAGAATGAAAAAATAATATATGATAATATCAAAGATTCGTTTTTTGCTTAACTATGATATGAAATTCTCAAGAAACTTCATTATCGTTTAAACTATCTCGCGTACGAAACAATGTCATTTTCTAAGGTCTATAAAAGTTGGATAGATTCTTTAATTAACATTAACTGATATAAAGCACAAAATTAGTTATTTAGAAAAATGTTTATGAATGGAAAAAAATGATAAAGTCAATCATCATTGTCGATATTTTCGTAGTTTCTTATTGATTTGCTTTGGAGTAATGTTTTGTAATTTGAAAACCCAAGCCCAGTCACTTGCAAGTGAATACATTTTTATATTTGATATATCGATAATTATTCCGCCACTGCCACTAGCTGCACGCCATTTTAATGGACCAATATTTGAGCCAAGAAGCGTCACAATTGTACTTGCTGAACTAACTGGTGCACCAAGTGTAATTTCAGTTGTA